TTGTGTGTGATTCACGATTCAAGACAGTGGTTCACCTCTTCGGACAGCTATTTGGTGCTCTGTTTTTCGCGAACTAACTCATCTTCCTGTCTGCTCTGTACAATATCGAGGGCAGTCACGAGATACGATCTAATAAACTACACCAGATCGCTTACCTGTGTCCAGTCGGTCCTTTATTTGCATCTTCGTGGTACGCATGGTGGCCGTCGGATGATGATCGATATCCATGCGGAACTCTGCAGCGATAAGTTCTGTTGTATATGACGCATTATTGTAGGGGCTGTAGCCCTACTTCCTTCCAACGCGCGCATACACCAACGCTCAATCTTTGCCTTCGGACATCAGTGCACGTGTACGCCCCAATTTCAGCCTACCGCAGCCTGGTCTGATCCTGCCAATCATCTCCCGAGGCTAACTCAGATAAAGGCAACGTTGTTGGCCGCTGTGACGACCCTGCACTCTCAAACCTCGGAGGCCGGCCCGCACGATCGGATGCATGCCAGTCCGAGTGTAAAATTCCTCCTACCTATTCTCCCACTCCTGCACAGAACAAACTGTTCCTACCACTTGGACTTCCCATGCCTTCTCTTCTCCCAAGAAACCGGCCTAAAGCTCGCACTGGCTAGGATTTAAGCTTATTAACCTTTACTCCACGCGATATTCTTTATAGTTGGTAGCCACCAGAGATTTAATAGCTCTCATACATTTGTTCTCAGTCGGTACATACGGAGGCAGTTGCTGAGGAAGCTGTTTGGATATTTACTGCTTAACATTTGCGCTTGAAGGTGCCTTAGTTCTTGTATTTGTCCCTCCACTTCACTGCCATGCGTTTTTTACATTCTAATAGATTGTTCTTGTAAAACCATGTTTCTGCACCATCGGGTGGTTGCTACTGTGGTTGAAAAACCCGAGTTGTGTTAGTAGCCTTTCTATAAACTTGATATAATGTTTTTCACTGGGTGTGCATATAACGGAGACGTCAAGGAGAAACATTTTTTAAGTATTTTATTTTTCCCTTGTGCACTGAATGTCGGGAAGATGCCGGTACGCGGCTTTTGAAAGTCATTAGAACAAACGACTTTGCAGTGGTCGAACGCAAACATCAAGCTTACATTTATATATGCAATTTTACACATGAAAATAAGCTGTCCTAGCATTATTCCCATGCGAAGGTCTCCGCGGTCTTCCCTATTTGGCTATCTGCGTACCGCGATGACCCCGTTAGCGATCGCATCAGCCAAACATGACGGCCCAAACACTCATCCTTGGTTCGACCCGCAGCGAACTGTCGACGATCTGGGCGGATTTTTCTGTTTTTCCAACCTAGTCGGCGGACTCTGCAATCGGCAAGGAAGTATCAGGCCGCAACTTCCGCACTCGGTGATGATCCTGGTGACCTTTGCAATGCCCCCCCCCC